TCATTCAGCTTCTGCTTGCTTGCCTTCTGCAGGTTTGGTCAGTTGGCTCATTTTTAGAAAATTAGGTTGTTTATTACTCTGTGCTCTGGAGACCACACTGCTAAAAACCCGTTAATTTCGAAGAGGGGAATTCTGATGAACATGTGAGCCTGAATAGTGAACAACCCCAAATGTACTTTGGAACAACACTTGGCATCCAAATATCTTGGTTATCAAAATGGGCCATTGAATCAAATACATTTATACTCCAACTGTGATATTAAACAATAGATTATAATATAAGAGAGGAGTGGAAAAACAGCAACGGTATAAAGTCATTTAGCTGGAAGCAACAAAGTCAAGTCTGATTTTTTTGATCCTCAAATAATTCTATGATCCTGGCTCTTGATAAGAGGGAATTGTCTTACCCAGAGGTTTAATAGGCCCCCAAGGATTTACTTAAGAGGCAATGGGGACCCTGCATGACCCTAAATGGAATTTTGGGGTTCCAGGGAGCAGTGCTGCAAGGCAAGTTTAGTTCTAGGTGCATTACCCAAGGGGCAGAGGGTTCTTTCTGAAGGAAGTGGTCTGCTGATAATCTCTAAACACCGTTTAGGCTGAATCCATTTGTTCCAGTCAGAACTTCAAGGTTTCAATAATCTGCTTTTTACACGTGCTTGGGCTATGTGGCCTTGGGCAAGTGGCTCAACATCTCTAAATTTAATTTTCCCTGTGTGACCTCTATAAACAGCTAAGAAGTTGCATAATGCACCACGACTAATTGGTATTTATCCCAGGAATTCAAAATTGGTTTGACATTAGAAGATCAGGTATATAATTCTCCATATTAACAGATTAAAGAAGAAAAAAATGTAATCTTCTCAATACACAAAATAATGTTCAATGAAATTCAACATTCATTCATTTAAAAAATTTAGAATGTTAGGGAACTTCCATAGTGTGATAAATGGTATCTATAAAGAAAAATCTATAATAAGCATTATACTTAATGGTGAGACTGTGTAAACATTCCCTTTAAGATCAGTAACAAGAGAGGATCCTACTATTCCCACTTCTATTCAATATTGTGCTAGGTGTCTTAGACAAGGCAGTAAGGAATAAAAGAAAAAAAGAGATGTAAGAATTGTAGAATGAGAAATAAAATTACTTGCAAAGGATATGATTGTCAGATTGTCTCAATGAATCTACAGATAAATTATTAGTACTAATAAAAAACTTAAAAACGTGACTCAATAAAGAAACAATATATGAAGTTAAGTTGCAATTCTAAGCATCAACACAAAGAATTAGAAAATGTGATATTCTTATAAAAAAGTTTTCACAATATTATAAAAATTTCAGATACCTGGGGATGACTCTAACAAAAGATGTGCAATGCCTTTATAGCAAAAAATTATGAAACTTTATTGAAAACATTACAGAAAACCTAAATACAAAGGTATATTATGTTTATGAATCATAAAAATATAAACACTCCTAAAATTGATCTATAGATTTAATGCAATTCTAATAAAAATCCCAGTAGTTTGTTTTTTATTATAGAGCTTCTTATTAACTTAATAAATGTTTATTGAGCACCTAGTCCTTTCCAGACACTGTACTAGGCATGATAGGATAGAGCAATGAACAAGACATGAAGTTCTAATCCTCGTGGACCTTAGTCTAGGGAGAGAAACTGACTTAAAAATCAGTTAATAGTCGTATGATACACTGATTATAGGCTGTGTGAGCGACATTTTACAGATGATAAAATTGAAGCTTAAACAAGTGAGTTGCCTTGTCCAGCACTACAGAGTCAGTAAATATTAGATCCATTTCTTAAATCCGAGGCTGCGAAGTCTGACTTCAAAGCCCATGGTCTTTCCATGTCACCATGCAGGTTTCCAAGACCCCATTTGGCCAAAGCTCAGCCTGTATATCTCTATGTACACAAGCTCCTCTGTGTGCCGCTATGGAGCCATGAACACTTCTGAAATACCCACAAGTCCGTATGACCTGGGCACAAAGCCGCCCTGGTCAAGAGGTGCATCAGCAGTAAAGTGCATGCTGGGTGTTCATGGATGCCAGCACCACCGGGCTCTGTGTTTAGGCAAAGTTGGAAGCAGCTGTGATGTGATTTCAGCGATGTTTCTGCTCTAGAAGCTCTCCTCCCTGGGCTGTCTCAGTTTCTGAAAAATTCCATAATTGGAGATTCAGGCTGCAGGATTTCTAGGAAGACTGTGGAATAAGTGAAGATGTCAGCAACCTCCTTGTCTCCAATGCCATTACTATAATTTTTTTTTCAATAACTACAATAATAGTGACATGAAGGCTCTACCCTGCCCCATAAGTGAGTGGGGCACAGTCTGGCTTTCTCCTCGAAGATGCCTAAGCTCGGTGTGCACTGTGGAGGGAATATGTATGCACATCCATATCTCAGAAATGGGACCAGAGACCTAGACCCCTAGTCCTAGCTAATGAAACCCTAGTAGCCCACCTGGCGGGAGTCCAGGCTGCCGCTCCATATGGCCTGCTACCTTGTCCTTGTCCTAGGAAGCTTCAATCAGTAATTTAACACAAGGGCTTAAAACTGTCTATTCAGATTTGTGAATGACAATGAGCATCAACAAGTCAAAATCGTGGAGACTAAATAGTAAGGAAAAGAAATGCTTCATAATAAGGAGGAGCCAAGTCATGAGCTGAGAAAAGCCTTTCTCCAGAAAGTGTTTTACTTCATGAATCTGAAAAATCAGAAGACTATTTTACACAACTGTCTATTTGCTATGCTGAGAGAGATAAAAGGGGATGTGGCATGAGGGAAAGCTATGAGAGAAAACAAGCTCGATAAAATATGTGATAGAGCAAAGAAAATAACAGCTGTGAACAGTAAAAAGCAGAATTGTTACTCCAGAAAAGTAAATGCACAATACAAAAGAGAGTCTCTATGTTGTCATGGTTGACAACCTAGCTCTTGAGTCAGACAGATTTTGCTCTAATTGAATTACAATTCTGCCACTTAGCTGTATGACCTTGAGAAATTTACTAGAGCTCTATGCTTCATTCATAAAATGAGGGTAATAGGAGGATTAATGACATTTAATTCTTGGATTTAGGCACACAGGATCCTCTGTTAAAATGCCAACATCCCTGGGAGAGGTAGACCTTACATTATTATCGTTATTGCTGAGCGTCTGCTTTATAAAAGAACTACATAACTGAGAAAGGGGAAGAGATGACCAACATTGAAGAATGAGGTAAGATGTGTTTCCCCAGCGTGACCATGAAAACACCACGTCAAGGGAGACACAGAAGGAAGCACCAGATTTGGGCTCCTCCCATTCCCATGAGCATGACTGACCTCACTAAGCCAGAAGAATGCTGATGGTACCAGCAGACCCCACTCTTTAGGATGGAACAACAAATTGCTTTCCATGGCCTGTAGAAGATTCATATTCTCACTAGGGCTCCCTATATCTTTCTAGGTTGGTCAGCTCATAGTCTTCTCCTTAGGGGATACTTGATCTCCAAGTATCTCATATATAAAGCACAATTACATACAAAAGGTCATAGCGTGGTCTAAGAAAATCACTTTATTCATACTATCTCGAAGATCCCAACTGGGTTGATAAGTGATGGAGAAACAACTGCAAATTGCTGAGTTCAATCACTTCTAGGTGGTGTGTACCTACTATGAAGAAGAGGCCATATCACAGGCTCCTTAATGAGCAGTAGGAGACGGCAGATGGTGATAAGGAGAATGGGCGGCACCAGAGACCGGTTTAAACTCCGTCACAACTGGGCCTGGCCCCAGCTCTGGTTTGGGCACCACAGCAGGGCAGTGAGACATAGCGTCTCTTCCTGTCTTCAACCACCCAGGGAATTACACAGGAAGTCAGTTACGCTGACCCGGCAAACACAGATGATAAACAGTGGATGCCTTTCCCAGCGGCATTATGCTTCCCCTGTTAACACCTCCCATTGTGGAAAAATCTAAACAAACCAGAATTAACGGGAATCCAACATCTTCCTTTCTACAGTGAAAAGTTTCCTTGATGAAAGTTAGGAAACTCCATTTTGGGGGGTTAGGAAATTGGAAAAAGAAAGCCTTAATATCAGTGCATCACTATTTTTAACTGTATGTGTTGAAATCGAATATCTGATCAAAAACTTTTACACATACAACAGGTTGCTAGGAAGCAAAGATGGTGAACAATCCATATACAACATGGTGAGTCTCATAGATAAAATGCTGAGTGAGAGAAACCAGACAGAAAAAGAGGACATACTGAAAGATTCTATAGATAAAGTTCCAAAAGAGGTGAGGCCTCTCTGTGCTGTTAGAAGTCAGGAGCGGGCTTACCCTGAGGGGTGGTGCAGTTAATGTCTGGAAGAGGTAACGAGGGAAGCTTCTGGGGTGTGGCAAGGATCTGTTTCTTATCTGGGTGCTGACTACCCAGATGTGTTCAGTTCGTGAAAATTCATCAAGCTGTACATTCCACACATTTACCCTTTCTAGTGTGTATTTTATACTTCAAAAAAGTTCAAACGGTAATTAGCAATAAAGACAAACTCAGCCTCAGCATTCTGGCTTTTTGATCATGGTTTCACCCTTCCAGAAAAGAGGCCATCAATCATTTTAAGAATGGGCAAATTTGGGGAGAAAATTGGAGCAAAAATTTCAGAATTTAGGTTTATTGGGTCATTAGGTTTATACTCCACATATTACAGTAACATGGGTTTATTCCTTGACCAAGCCCTTAAGGAGTCAGAGCATCTTTTTCTTTTAAGAAGACAACCTCTGCCTATAACACCTGATACCTACACTTAACCACACTCGGTAAACAGGGAGATGGTATTGGCGGGAGAAATGGGGTTCTATTTCCTATCAGAGACAGTAGAAAATATTTAAAATTTGCCAGGGGAAAATGGTCTGAAAATAAATAAATGTATGAGATAGGATGGAAGTTCCAGACTTCTCTTTGTTCTCGAGATCTGTTCCCTAAGTCCCTGGAGACTGTCCCAGCTGCTGCTGCTTCTTCATCCCTCACCCTCAGAGCCAGCCCTGCCAAGAGCAGACTGGGGCGGGGGGCTCCCCAAAGATGTGCACGCGGAAGTCACCTTAATAAGAAAACATTTCTATAAATCACTTGAAATCCTACCACCCAGAGATAAGAGTAGTTAAGAATTTGATATACAAACAAGTACATACATGCACACACACACACATTCACACACGTATATGTACATATCTCATCCTAGACTTCTTTCTCTTAATACCTACTGAGTGTTGTTTATAACACATTTCACTCAAAAAACAAGGTTTGAAAGGCTTTGTAGTATAAACCTGAGCATTCATATTAAAATAAAAGGTTTAATTTATTAGAGAAATTTACATTTGTTGAGCAAAGAACCCAGAACCTTACATATGTGATGTTTAATCTCACAATGAACTATACTCTCATACAACCCTGCAGCACTGACGTAGCCTCCAATTTAGGTCCATATGTGGAAACTGAGCGTCAGAGAGGTTAAATAACGGGAGCAAAGTCATTTAACTGGAAAGTGGAAGAGGCAGGATTTGGACCCAGTTCCGAATGATTGGGAAGGCTTCACCCTTTACACATTATAACACGCCTCCCATGAAGAGCAGCCTTTCCTGGTGTTTATCTTATTTGATTCGTCAGGCAACTATTTTAAATGTTTGAGATTTACTGTTAAAGGATCAAAACTTTGAGTATAGTATGAGATCTTCTGAAGCCAGAGGACTCTTATTCAATGTTTAGTTGAGAAATTTAGTGGAGGTAGTTCTCAATTTTCATGCATTTTCACCACAGAGGTAAGTCATGGAAAGATTCACTGTGATTATTTTTTCCCTTTGGATGTCAGCTTTCCCCGCCCGTCTCCCCTCCTCTCCCACTAAAATATAAGTCTTTTAACCAAAACTTAGTTTTTATAGCATGACGCATTTTTTCCAAAATGAAAATAGCTTTATCATTTTTATAGTGATAAAATTAATACATTATTCTTCTTTTTAAAAATTAGATATTACAAAAAATCATAAATAAATTTTTATAATTGCTTAAAATCCTACCATCCAGAGATAATAGTGGTTAAGAATTAGATATAAAATAAGTACATACGTGTGTGCACACACACACATATTCCTAGACTTCTTTCTCTATATAAATCCATATATAGATTTTAATAAAAACTGAGGGATTAACGCCCTTTGAATAAAAATAAATACAATGTTAGATGCTTTAACACTATGCCTTTACTTTATAGCATTTATGCCCGCAGTCATGAAATAATGATTGACATGATCATTATTATTGCTGTAGAGTGCACGGACTCCGGAGCTAGACTCCCTGGATTTTAATCCCAGATCTGTCACTGCCCAGCTACATAATCCTGAATGAGCTACTCTTGTTCCTCAGCTTCTTCATCTGCAAAATAGAGAGAAAAACCATATCTACCTCACAGGGTTGGTGTGAGGATTAAATGAGTGTATATAAAATATGTAGGGGCCGGCTCCATGGCTTGGCGGTTGAGTGCGCGCACTCCGCTACTGGCGGCCTGGGTTCGGATCCCGGGCGTGCACCCGACGCACCGCTTCTCCGGCCATGCTGAGGCCGCGTCCCACATCCAGCAACTAGAAGGATGTACAGCTGTGACATACAACTATCTACTGGGGCTTTGGGGAAAAAAAGGAGGAGGATTGGCAATAGATGTTAGCTCAGAGCTGGTCTTCCTCAGCAAAAAGAGGAGGATTAGCACGGATGTTAGCTCAGGGCTGATCTTCCTCACACAAAAAAAAATAAAATAAAATAAAATATGTAGAACAATGTCACATATTAAGCTCAAATGTATTGGCTATTGTCTTATTTCCCTAATGTTTTTCCTTCCACCAAGTTCCATGCATGCAGGGAGGATGCTGGTCTTGTTCCACATTGCATCCCTCAGCGTGGTATATAGTGTGTGTCCAGCAGTTGTTAACTATTATTATTAATGGTATTCAATAAATATCTGTTGAATGGATGAAGGAATACCCATTTCCCGCTAAGGTATTTGCTATTGATAGAATAGTGGGAAAAGCCCAAATTTTAGAGTCAGGCAGATTTCAAAACCTTATTTTCTCATCCTCAACTATTGACTTTTTTAGGGGAACAGAGGGACAACTTAATGAACTTTTCTGAGCCTCTGATTTCCCATCTATAAAATGGAGATAATTCCTTCTTGCAATGTTGTTATACGGATTTGACAAAATTGTGTTAGTTTATCAATAAACAGTAGCTATTTTTCTGTGCAAATATTACATTATAGTATCCAGAGCCACTGCTTTGCATAACCTAAGGGGGCACCATTGACGTGGAATGCAACATGAAGGAGCCCTGAGGCTATATCCACAGTGTGCTTTGCAGTCTATAAAAATTACAAAGTAGCCATTTCTCAGAGTCTCTCAGGGTTGGAGGTATTTGGGGTCTATGAGAGCAATTTGGGGTTAATATTAGCTGCAGAGATCTTTTGCAGGTGATATTCTCATTTTGAAGTCATGGAAAATGAGACACACCTATAAACTCAGGACCTGGGATTAAGCTCAAGCCTTTTAAATTCCAAGTTCACTACTCTCTAAAACCCAATGAGGGAGTGACGTCAGCATCATGCAGAGTGAGCTTCCCTCATTGAACTCTCCCCCTGGAAGACACAACAAAAAGGACATTCATATCCCAAGATAAGTTATTCACACAACACAGGGGACATCAGAGGCACCCGGGCAGCCGTACACCCGAGGTCTGAGGTGCTAGAATCCCCAGAGGAAGTGGAAGGAGGAAGAGGAGCTCCCTTCCTTCCTCGAGGTCTGCGACCCTGAGACTGAGACCACGCGGCTCTCAGAGGAGGAAGAGGGGTGGTCCTCTGTGGGAAAACTGGCGCTCTCCAAGACCCCTCACAGCCCATGGGGAATGCCCCTGTGGAGGGAGTGGAATTGTTGCGAGGGTACCTCTGACCAGCTAGCCCTTTAGGAGAGCAGAGAGCAAGAGGGAAGTGAGAAACCTCTGGGGTCAGGGAGGCTAGAGTAAGCGCCACCCCCCACCTGCCCACCCGGCGCTTCAGCACAGTGGCCCTGCAGCATTAGCTCAGCTGCGTTGCAGCTCAGCCCCAGCCTGGCAGTGGCGGTGTGCCCATGCCCCACCCCCAGAGGCAGCTCCCCGGAGCCCTGGAACCAGCGGCGGCAGTGCTCCCACACTCCGGCACCAGCAGTGGTGGTGCACCTGCACTCCGGCCCCAGAGGCGGCAACCCCTGGCGTCCAGGCAACAGCAGCAGTGGCATGCCCGTGCCCAGGCCCCACTAGCTGTGGTGGTGTGCCCAGGCACCAGGCAGTGGCTCCCCAGAGCCCTGCTCCCAGCAGCAGCAGCTCCCCAGAGCCCTGGCATCAGTGGCAGCACGCCCACATCCCAGCACCAGCAGTGGTGGTGCACTCGTGCTCCGGCCCCAGAGGCAGCAGCCCCCTGGCGCCCAGACAACAGTGATGGTGGCATGCCCACACCCAGGCCCCAGTGGTGGTGACCACCAGCGCTCAGCCCCACCAGAGGCGGCGGCCCCCCTGGAGGCCCCACACCAGTGGCAGCAGTGCACTAGTGGCTCAGGCCAGACAACACCAAGCCCCAGCTGCCCTGGCTCAAGTGCGCCACAGCCCTGCCTGCCCCAGTTAGACCGTGCCATGGCCCCAGCTGCCCCTGGCTCAACCACACCATGGCCCCAGCTTCCCAGGTTCAACTGCATCACGGCCCCAGCTGCCTTGGCTCAACCACGCACCGGCCACAGCTGCATCAGCTCGACCGTGCACCAGCCACACTGCATCGGCTCGACTGTGCCCTGGCCACAGCTCCTTCGGCTCGACCATGCCCCGGCCACAGCTGCATTGGCTTGATCACACCCTGCCCCTAGCTCCTTAGGCTCAACTGCCCCCCAGCTCCAGCTCCTCTGGCTTGGCTGCACTCAGGCTCCAGCTGACTTGGTGCCAGCTACTTTGGCCCAGCCACACTCCAGCTCCAGCTTCTTCGACCCATCCACGCTTCAGCTACAGCTGCTTCAACCCAACCCCACTCAGCTCCAGTTGTGTCCACTCAGCCAGGCTCCAGCACCAGCTATTCCCATGCTCCAGCTCCAGCTGCTTCTGCTCAGCTATGCTGAAGCTCAGCTGTGCTTCAGCTCTGGCTTCCTTGGCCCACCTGCACCCAAGCCCCAGCTACTTCGGCCTAGCTGTGCTCCAGTCCCAGCTGTTCTCACGCTTCAGCCCCAGCAGCCTCTGCTCAGCCGTGCTTCAGTTCAGCCATGCGTCAGCTCAGCTGTGCCCCAGCTCGGCCACAGGCTGACCAGAGCTCCCGCGGATCAAGGCCAGCACAGAATACACAGCTCTTGACCCCTAACCAGTGGCGGCAAGAGGAAACTTAGACCAGATATTTTCACTATGAGGAAGAATAAGCCAACACTGACAGGCACTATGCAAAAATATATTAAATCTCCAGACCAAAAGGAAAATGACAAGCACCCAGAAATCAACCCTGAAAGCACAGAAACGTATAACCTCAATGACAGAGAATTCAAAATAGCTATCATGAAAAAGCTCAATGAAATACAAGAAAATACAGACAGACAATTCAATGAAATCAGGAATTTCTTAGCAAAAGAGATTGAAACTATAAAGAAAAACCAATTAGAAATCTTAGAGATGAAAAATACAATAGAGGAGATAAAGACAAATCTGGAAGCCTTAAGCATCAGAGCTGACAATATGGAGGAAAGAATCAGCAATATTGAGGACAGCAACGCAGAAATGCTCCAGATGGAGGAGGAAACAACTAAGACTAAAAAGAAGTGAAGAAACTTTCCGTGAAATATCCAACTCAATTAGGAAATCAAACATAAGGATTATAGGTATACCAGAGGGAAAAGAGAGGGAAAAAGGAGAAGAGAACTTGTTCAAAGAACTAACAGCTGAGAACTTCCCAAACCTGGAGAAGGAGCTAGAAATACCAGTGAATGAAATCAATAGATCTCCTAAATATATCAACACAAAAAGACCCATTCCAAGCCATATAGTAGTAAAGCTGGCAAAAGTCAACGACAAAGAAACAATATTAAGGGCAGCTAGACAAAAAAAAAAAAAAAATAATGTACAAAGGAATTCCTACCAGGCTCTCAGCTGACTTCTCGACAGAAACTTTACAGGCTAGGAGAGAGTGGAACGACATATTCAAAATTCTGAAAGAAAAAAACTTTCAGCCAAGGATACTCTATCCAGCAAGAATATCTTTCAGATATGATGGAGAAATAATAACTATCCCTGATAAACAAAAGCTAAGGGAGTTCATTGCTACAAGACCCCCACTACAAGAAGTGCTCAAGAAGGTCCTCATGCCTGAGGCAAAAGGAGAAAGGGGATACAAAGTTTTGAACAAAGAGGAAAATAGGTCAACAAAACCAGCAGCTCTCTATCAGAATAGATTAGCAAACACTTAACTATAAAATCAAAGATCAAGGCAAGGAAAACACCAAAAATAAATATAACCTCATCACTTTAAACACAAACTCATAAGACAAGATGGAATAAGTTGTGACAACAAGAACTTAGAAGGGGAAGGGGAAAAGGGTCAAATTGACTTAGTGTAAGGGAATAAGAGGCCGTTAAAAAATGGACTATCACATCCACGTGATTTTTTATACAAACCTAATGGTAACCACTAACCAGAACAGAGTCATACAGGATAAATAAAGAGAAAACTAAGAGAACCTTCATACAGAACTGATCAAACTGAATTGGTAGTCCAAAACACACAGGATGAGAAAAAGAAGAAATGCAAAAGAAGTGGAAAATGAGCAATAAAACAGCAACAATAAGCCCTCATATATCAATAATTACCCTAAATGTAAATGGACTGAACTCTCCAATCAAAAGACACAGAGTTGTGGATGGTTTAAAAAACGAATGCTGCCTCCAGGAAAGACATCTCAGCTCTCAAGACAAACACATGCTCAGAGTAAAAGGATGGAAGACAATACTCCAAGCTAATGACAAACAAAAGAAAGCAGGTGTTGTCATACTTATATCAGACAAAGTTGACTTCAAGATAAAACAGGTAATGAGAAACAAAGAGGGGCAATATATAATGAGAAAAGGGACACTCCACCAAGAAGACATATCACTTATAAATATATATGCACCCAACACAGGAGCAGCAAAGTACATAAGACAACCGTTAACAAACCTAAAAAGAGATATTAACAACAACACAATAATAGTAGGGGAACTTAACACCCCACTTACATCAATGGCTAGATCATCCAGACAGAAAGTCAATAAGGAAATAATGGACTTAAATGAAAAATTTGACGAGATGGACTTAATAGATATATATAGAGCACTCCATCCAAACACAGCAGATTGCATATTCATCTCAAGCACACATGGAACATTCTCAAGAATAGACCATATGTTGGGAAACAAAGCATGCCTCTATAATTTTAAGAAGATTGAAATCATAACAAGCATCTTTTCTGACCATAATGCCATGAAGCTAGAAATCAACTACAAGAAAAAAACCGGGAAAGTGACGAAGATGTGGAGACTAAACAACATGCTACTGAATGACCAATGGATCATTGATGAAATTAAAGGAGAAATTGAAACACATCTGGAGACAGATGAAAATGAAAATACACTGTACCAACTCATATGGGTTGCAGCAAAAGCGGTCCTGAGAGGGAAACTCATAGCAGTACAGGCCCAC